TACACGTAGAATTTACACGTTAAACAGGTCCTGGTGTTGACTATGATGAACTACTGCATTTGAATTAGTTTAAAACCCTCCTCAATTTTGGTAAATGAATAGATTTAGTTGGTAACCAACTAATGAACTACTGCATTTGGTATTCATACATACATACATACATATATACATATATATAAAATTTGATAATATTGACATTAGGTGAGACAGTTTGTAACAAATAGTTGCTAAGGTGTTTTTTATATTATGATTAATTATTTCAATTGCAGGTTTCATTGTCAACCTTAGAAAATCAAAATTCATTTTCAGCCTTTTTATCTAGATCACTCCAACATAAACTGTAATTTTTCCTCTTTTTTAGAATGTTTTTTCTTCAAAAAAAAAAAAAAAAAGTTGTTTTATATACTACGACGCAAAAATCTCTAAATATGGACCCCTTCCCCCCTGTTTAATCTCAAAATTTTTTACACCCCCTCCTACCATGCGTACGTACGCTTGATGGTCTTACCCCTCCTCCCTCACGGTTGTCTTACCTCCACACTCCTCCTTCATATAAGTTTGGTAGTCTAACGCCCCTCCTCATAATTCCATTTTAGGATTAGGTTTTAAAGCTATTGTTCCTATGCCCGTAAGTTCCGTAAGTTTCAAAGTCTATTCTTCCGTAAGTCATTATGTCAGTTTAAAAATTTTTTAACTACTAAGATTGTGGTCAATTATAGTCCATTGCTTTCTTTATTTACAAAATTCTCTGAAGAATATTTCATCATTTTTAAAAATGCGTAACTTTTTTTGCTGACGGTTTTTTTTGCTGACGGTAACATTTTATTTTTGTTTCGATTGTGTAACAGTTTAATAGTTCTCGGAGATTCGTTTTCCTTTTATTTTTATAATCCAATGAGCTTTTTTAATTATTGTTCACCAAGGTTCCCAGCTTGTTTTTAAAAATATTTTTAGCAGATTCGAATTCCAGTTTGTCAAGTCGATCTGTTGTTACTTTGTGTGTAAATCACATGATATCGGTAAATACCTTTTCCTGACTTTTTAAAAGTATAACGGTTCCATTTGGAATGCTTTTTGTTTGCTCTTTTAGTTCTGTTGTTGTGAGTTTTTTTTAAAGTGGTTGAAAGGGAAAGCCTGCACCTCAGCATTTGTTAAGAAACTTTCATTTTTTACGTAGACTTACCTATAGTTCTTTATCGTCCTTTAGAACAATAGTTTTTAATTAAATTTACACAGTGTGTGTCTTAACAAAAGGTAAAAAAAAAAAATATTCCGGCATTCCGGCCTGAAATATTGTAATTGCGGCTGGAACCGGAATGACCTAAAAATCACAATCCGGCCTAAACTGAATTCCGGTATATTCTTAAATTAAACACTCAATTACTTTCAAAAGACTAAAAAAAAGTAATCTTGAAGGAAACTGTTTCACTATCATGAATAAAAAAATTACAAATTTAAGGAAAATTGCACTTTTTATCAGTTTAAACTTTTATATTAATAATCATATACAACAGTTACAGTATGAAAAAACAATAAAATGATATGTAACAGTCTAGCTACATTGTCATATATAAATTATGCTAAATCACAATCGTATATAATGGTAAACGATCTATATAAGAGTTGTTACAATTCAATGTTACCAATGGTAACAACATTTATATTTCATCTTTCAAGCTAAATGAATTTCCTTAATTTATATCAAAATGAAAACCAATTTCATTTTGATATAAATTAAGGAAATTTTTTTTTATTTATCTATAGTGGTTTCAGATTATGGAAGTCAGAGTATGAACCCAAACAAATAGCAAGAGAATTAAATAAATATTTCGTATCTGTTGGCCAAAATTTAGCTAAAAGTATTCCAAATATGATTAATTCAATAAATGATTACGTGTTTCCATTAAACTCTAGTTTAAATAAATTTGAAGTATCTTCATCAATTTGAAAGTGCTTTTAAAAATGCTTAAAGCTAATAAAGCAGTTGGTCTTGATGATATAAATTGTAATATAGTCATAGATTCATACAATACCATAAAACATATTTTTTTTTAAAGTTTTTAAATGTTTTATAAATAAAGGAATTTTCCCCGATTAATTGAAAATAGCCAAAATAACACCTATATTTAAAGGAGGTGAACCTTCAAATGTAAGTAATTATCGATCAAAATCTATCCTCTCTGTTTTTTTAAAAATTTTAGAAATAATTATGTTCAACCAAATATCTAATCATCTTGCTGTTAATAATATACTTCACATAAATCAATACTGTTTTAAAAGAAATAACTCTACTGAACATGCAATAATTCATCTTACTCGCAGTATAACTGATTCATTCGAAAAGTCAGAGTTTATTTTAGGCGTCTTTATGGACTTATCTAAGGCTTTTGACACAATTGACCATGAAATACTAATTAAAAAACTTGAACATTATGGTATCACCGGTAATGTTTTAAAAATACTAAAAAGCTATTTAAAACATCGCAAACAATTTTTTTATGTCGATGGATCTTCTTCACAAGATTCTCTAAATATAACTTGTGGAATTCCATAGGGATCTATACTAGGGCCTTTATTATTTCCAATTTATGTTAACGATCTCCATGAAGACTTAAAATCAACAACTATAATGTTTGCTGATGATACAAACCTATTCCTATTTAATAATAACATCAATAAACTTTTTTTATGATATGAACATTGAACTAACAAAAATATCTGACTGGTTTAAGTCAAATAAACTTTTACTCAACATTGATAAAACTAAATGGATTTTCTTTCATCCATGATTTAAAAAACATTTACTTCCAAGTAATCTCTTCTTCATATTGATAATATTCAAATAAAAAAAGTAATTTTCACAAATTTTCTAGGTATTATTGTAGATGAAAATAAATATCATGGAAGAATCACATCAGACATTTATGCAACAAAACTGCAAAAAGGATTGGAGTTTTATATAAAGCAAGAAGCGTTTTAAACAAACATTTATTAAGACAACTATATTACTCTTTTATACACTGTCATATTAATTATGCTAATATTGCATGGGGTAGTACCCATAAAAATAAATTAAAGCCACTTTATTGTCAGCAGAAACATATTGCACGTCTTATAAATTTCAGAAATTGTTTTACTTACTCAAGGCCACACTTATTTAACTTGAATGTTTTTAATATATATCAATTAAATGTTTATAATGTTCTTTGTTTTATGTTTAAATGTAAAACCAACTCATTTCCAGCTTCCTTTTTTGATTTATATTCTTTTAAAGAAAAAATAAATATTCTTTAAGAAATAATAATTTTATTAAACAACCAAAATTTCAAACAAACATTGGTAAATTTCTTTTCGTGGAGCTTTTTTATGGAATCAAATAATTGTAAAAAAAATTTGATTTTTCTCATGAATGGAATTATTGTTGTTCAAAAGCAAATTTAAAAAAATAATTTTTGCAATTGAAAATATATTTATATACTTTTAATTATACCCAGTTTTGTCATCACTTATTTATATTTTACTTTTATACAATATTGATTTAAAGTTTATCTGAGAAACTATAATTAAACACCATTATTTGTTAAAAGTTGCACTGTCATTTTTTTTACAGTAGTCTATTATTATTTACATGTTTACTTTAATTTTTATTCTAAATCGTAATATTTGTAAATAATTTGTCTTACAAACGGTATATACTTTTAATATTGAATTTAATTTTGTAATAAAAAAAAAAACTTAAAAAATATATATATTTTATAAAATAAAAAAAAATTGATGTATGTGAATGGATGTATCTGCAAATATGTATGTATGATACTTCTGGAAGTTAACCATCCTTGACAGTGGTTTAGCACTTTTGTTGGTGGAAGCGAAAAATGTAAATGCACCAACATTTAATAGTTTTGGCTTCACATACAGAGACACCATCATTTGGCTTTCTAAATACTTCTACACAATCTTTTGAAAAACCTAGAAATGCATTTGGATGTACCTAGTGCAGTCATATTCTTATTATTTTCGCTTATTTATTAATTAATTAACAATTAAGATTAGTGAAATTGTAAGATACATTTGAGTAACAAGATTCAGTGATCGTATAGATGCGAGTAAGATGCGAGACGTATTTGTTTATCAAGAACACGATGATATTATTGTTTTCGCTGAGTCATGCGATTCAGAAGAATTAGTATTTTAATTCAAGCCATAAAGACCATAACTAAAGAAAAGTTTAAAATTTGTATTTATTTATTTTTGTTTTTTCTAAAATCTAAATTAAGTTCAAAGTTCTTCAACAGCGGTTCTCGGTGACAAGACCTGTATGGTCTTCTTTGAGTATCCGCGTTCTTTATCTTAATTCCTTATTTTTTAACGGTTTCTTTGCATGTAATTTTTCTTATTGATATATTTGTAAATATTGTATTAAATATTGTAATAAAGAACATAAAAAAAAAAAAAAGTAGCTTTAGATGATTGACATTAGTACAAATATATTTTAATGTAAAAAATTGTAGAGAAGTCCTTTTTTCAGGATTACAAAATTATAATTATATCAATGATAGCACCAACAACTTTTTTTTTAGTCACTATTAGTACCTAGTTTCCTTAAAGGTTGTCTATCCACGATAGTTTAAATGGACATCAGCATTAATTGGATATAAATAACGCTAACTTGTTGATAAGCACACGTTTTTTAATAATTTTTTTCTTTAATTATCATAATTGCAAAAAATACATAATATAGTTTGGAATATTATTGTTCGTTTTTTTAAAACATTACAAAACATTTTGTTAAAATATGTATATATTTGTATTTCTCTATATAAATATAAATATATTTATACTGAAAATTTCAAATATACTATTTGTAAAAATAAAATCCATAAAATCCAAAAAAATTCCATCCATTAAAGGACAAAATGTTTATAAGAAAAGAAAGATAAAAAATGGAAAATCTTCCGTTTGTTGACGCATCATAGATACGTCATCTCAAATGTCATCTCTAATTATACCATTTAGTGTTTTATACAAACCATGCAAAATACATACAATTTAATCATAAAAACTTTAGTGTTTTAGTTAACTATAATATCGGATTTATTTAGAAATACAAAAAAAATATTAAAAACATAACAAAAGTAACTGTAAGTCCTAAAATCAGCTGTGAATAGGAAGGATTAGACAACGTTCATCGTGAGGAGCATTTTCATCATGATGACATCGTTTACCATGATGTCTATAGAACACATAATGTTGCAACAAAAAAAGGATATCAAATAAAACAGAAAACAAACCAAGAGCAAATTTTGTAAAATCTCCAAATATCGAATTCCATTCATCTAAAAATAAATATTTGAATTAAAAAAAAATTAGCTTTAAAGCAGTTCATTTAAATTTTAATTTGAAAATTTTTATAAGAACAAAAATAATGCCATCATACTGTTATTATATGCAAGCAGAATCATTTGAATAATACTCAAAGAACCACCAGTAAAATCTAACTTTATATTTTCGATACTCCAACCAACAGTTGACTTTCTTTTGTAGTTCATGTAGGCCTAAAGATAAAACAAAAAACAAATAAAACTAATATTGTATTGAAAAAAGCTGTGAAAATTTATCCTATTCAAAAATATAAACGAACCTGAGGAATATATTTAATAAGGGTGACTCCAAGTTTGATATATGAAAAGTAATAAAGATATGTTAACCAATTTAACTTAGACAAACAAGTTGGTATAAATGCACAGAATGCAAACAAGTAAGTTATAAAAAGCAATCCTTTGCATACTTTAGAAACTTTTTGTCCCCCTCTCTGAAAAACAATATCAAAATTAATAAAAAGGTTTATTATATTAAATTGTGTTAACATAAAACAAATAACTAAAAATAAAAACCTCGTATATAATGCACTGTATAATTGTAACGCCAGTCAAAGTTACAGCATGTAAACTAAAAAACACATCGTTAGCTTGAACAGGTATCTCTGTACCTCCATACTTTTTGAAATAATCATTCTAAAAATTTTTTAAATAAAGTTTTAGTTTAAACAAAAATATAGGAGTATTATTGATAAGCAAGTTACAAAAAAACAACAAGAAACAAACAAAATGAGAATTTATTTTGTTTATTTAACGGTTTTTTGTTGTTGTTTTTTTTTTCTTTTCTAACGAGAAATAAACAAAAACCTGCAAAAATAGGGTTATTATTTTTTGGCAAGTTTTATCTATTTATAAAAAAAATTGATGAAACTTGATTTTGAAAGTATCTAAAATGATTTTTGGTTAAACTTTTTTAAAAAAGTCACGCAGTATAACCCTTGCTTACACACTGGGTTCCAAATATTAGTAAAAAATATTTCCTCCAAAATTATATTAACCTGGTCTCAAAAAACCCAGAATTTTATACATTAAAAAAAAAAAAACATTTTAACAAAAATTGATAAGGTCATAATATTTATAGCAATATAAGATTATATAAGATTGTAAACTTTAAAAGTTCTATTTCTGATTATTTTGACACCCAGATTGGTATACTTTTGTACAATTGTTTTTACTGATATATGAGACCCAGCATATAATCAAGGGTCATACTAGGCAATTTTTTCAAAAGGTTTTATCTAAACCAATGACTTGATAGTGACTTACAAACCAAGGTTGATCTACTATTCATAGGGCCAATCTATGAAGCCAAAAAGTACCAAAAAACTATAACCTTACTGCACAGATAGTACCCCAAATAACCCATAATTAAAAATAGCAATACCTGTATAGATGGAACCCAAAACAATCCAACATTAAAAAAGCTATATGCTAGGAAACCAGTCATGTTGTAGCAGACAAAATCAAAGTTTAAACCCACAACGCTAGTAAACAAGAGTTTATTAAAAATTTATTTGGCGGTCAAGATTAAAAACAATTTCACTTTTTCATAAAAGTATAATGAATAATGTTCAAAATATTGAAAAAGATAAATTGCAAAAATACATTGATATAAAGAATAAATATAAGAATAAATACAAAGAAAAAAAAGTCACTTTTTATTTATGTTATTTTACACTGTATTTATTAAAATTTCAACATTTCTTTTTTTTATCTTTTTATTAAAATTTATTTACACTAACTCGAGATTTTGTAGATTTTGATATATGAATTGATGACCTATTAATTTATGGTATATAAATTAAAGATCCATCAACTTATGATAAATGAATAGAAGATTCATCAATTTATGATGTATCCAAATTTATGATGTATAAATTGTAAATCAAATAATCAAGCTTTATAATAACATATTATCATAATAAAAGTAAATAATAAATGAAGTTGATAACACTTAAAACTAAAAATGACAAAACGCAAGGTTTTTACTGTTAACAATTATGTTGACAGCAGTTATAATAAGTTAATCACCACAAACAATGGGCAAAAAATTGTCAGAACTTATAAAATTTGAAAATTTTGAAGAGTTACAAATCTTGTAACCGCTGAAACTATTAAAAAACTTTAAAAAATTTGCATGTGACTAAGAATGAATTAGACTCCAGAAATAAAGAATAAATGAATAATTAAAATCTTTCTTTTGAACAAAAAATTTCTTTTTTAATTTATTCAAAAGTGAATATTGTTGCTGTTGTCATGCATTGAATGAATGAACTGTGATTGAATGAATGGATTGTGATTGAAAGAATCAATTGCGATTAAACAATTTGATTGTGATTGATTGAAAATGAATGTATATTGTGATAGTGTAAAAATGAACGCATATTGTGATCAAATGATTGTGATTGAATGAATCAATTGTGATTGAATAAACTGATCTTTATCAAATGAATACATTGTAATCAAATAAAATGATTGTGATAAAATGAATTGATTATGATCAAATAAATTGATTGTTATTAAATGAATTGATTGTGATTGAGTGAATTGATTGTGATTGAACAATTTGACTGTGATTGAATGAATATACAAATGTATACTTGCAAAACTCTAGCTATAACCTGATTCTGAAAAAATATATATATATATACTTTTAAAACATCTTCACTTCCAACAAGGCTGTAAGCAACCACTATTATAGTCGGAAGTTACTGGAAGAGAAAAGATGAAGTTTATAGAGCAAGATAATGATTGACAGACAACTTAATGACTGACACACACAAAGTTGAAGTTAAGCAAGGTAAAAAAACTTAATTAACTGATAATAATTATAAAAAAAATTCTTATGAATTTAATTCTCCAAGTTATACATTATAAATATATTTATTAAACAAAAAACTACTTAATCTTTTAAAAAACATTTATTTTACTTAACATTGCGAATATTATTTTTTTCCCTTCAGACTGAAAGTTTTAGTAGCACCAATTTACAATTTACTTATTTGTAGGCACACACGAACAAACATTATTCTAATAAAATAAAATAAGACATTTTTTAGAACTAGCATAAAATTTTTGTCTCTTTTATACCTATACTAAGATATTGTCAAAATGTTTACAACGTTTTATCACAGTATGTAGATTATACAACGTTTTATCACAGTATGTAGATTATACAATGTTTTATCACAGTATGTAGATTATACAACGTTTTATCACAGTATGTAGATTATACAACGTTTTATCACAGTATGTAGATTATACAACGTTTTATCACAGTATGTAGATTATACAATGTTTTATCACAGTATGTAGATTATACAACGTTTTATCACAGTATGTAGATTATACAACGTTTTATCACAGTATGTAGATTATACAATGTTTTATCACAGTATGTAGTTCTGCAAAATGGCATTACAGATTAATTAGTTGACAACATTCTAACAGAGTATTTACTGAAAAGATAAGTAAATAAAACAACAAGTAAATAAATACTGCAAAGATAAGTAAATAAAACAACGAGTAAATAAATACTGCAAGGAGAAATAAATAAAACAACAAGTAAATAAATACTGCAAAGATAAGTAAATAAAACAAGTAAATAAATAATGCAAGGAGAAATAAATAAAAAAACAAGTAAATAAATACTGCAAAGAGAAGTAAATAAAACAACAAGTAAATAAATACTGCAAGGAGAAATAAATAAAACAACAAGTAAATAAATACTGCAAAGAGAAATAAATAAAACAATAAGTAAATAAATACTGCGAGAAGTTGTTATAAAACTTTTTATCAAACTTTAACAAATAAAAATTTAATTATAGAAGACTTTTATTTTGTAAAAAATTTTTAAAGATTTTTTAAAATTTGTGATGAATATAGTGTGATGAATGTCTCTATAAATTATAGTATAAATTATGCTATAATTTATAGGGACATGTACACTACATTTATCACAAAATTTAAAAAAACTTTAAAAAAACACAAATTTTAACAAAAATAGGTAGCTCCTACGTAAGGTAACTTTTCTTGCTTAAGTCTAGCTGAGCATTTTCTTAAGATGTTTTGTGAATACCATAATTTAAGAATCAAACTTACAAAAAATATATTGCAAGTTTTGCAAATACAAAAATTATTAATTTCAGAACTTACACAAAACTTAAGGCAAATTTACGCTTAAGTTTTGTGAACAGTATTCCATACAAGGACAGATTTATAGTATTCCATACAAGGATAAAATAAAGATAAAGAATAGAATCTGGAGAAAGAAAGTGGGGAGCACATTAAAGAGATGAAACATTAGCAGATAATTTTGCAATGAATTTGATATATGGATTCCAAGAAAAATTGGAAGTAAGAGTTAATCTTAGAAAATGAAGGGTAGACAACTTATCTAATACATTACCGTTTATAAATATAGGAAGATCTAGATTATTACGATAACAATTAGCTGACAAAAATTGAGTTTTATCTGAATTAAATGTAGCATGTAAAGAAAAAAAACAATAAATTATGTAGGAAAATAACAAAACTTCTTTTAAATTTAAAACAATCTATCATTAACTCAAATTATAAATTTATTTTTTGTTCACTTTTTTCACTTCATTTATTCATTCACTTATGTCTTTTCACTTCATTCGTTCATTCAATTATGTCGTTTCACTTCATTCATTCATTCACTTATGTCTTTTCAATTCATTCATTCACTTATGTTTTTTCAATTCATTCATTCATTCAATTATGTCTTTTTAATTCATTCATATATTTACTTATGTCTTTTCACTACATTCGTTCATTCACTTATGTCTTTTCACTTCATTCTTTCATTCACTTATGTCTTTTCACTTCATTCTTTCATTCACTTACATCAGCAAATCTTAAACTACAAAGATAAAAGTAATAAGAAAAAAAAAAAGTTTAAAAAATAAATAAAATACCTTTTTCTCTTGAAGTTTTTGTAAGTCTAAAAAAAAAAATATTTATATCACCATCACCGGTTACAATTTTATATATTAAACTCAATAAAAATTAAAAATATAAAAAAAAAATTACTAAAACTTACTTGAGGGTAAAATGAGACAGACCATGCCAGAAAATAAACCCAACCAATCAAAATGTTTATAAATTTGATAGCTAATGAGTTAACTACAACAATACGCACACGGTCATGCTTTTCACTATTTAAAAAAATTTTAATTTTTCAAAAAATTTATTCAATTTATAATATATATTTTAGTTATTTTGACAAATATCATTCTTCTGTACACTTCTTTATTCATATTGTAATAGGAATAAATTATTTATTTTTGTTTATTATTATTATTGCTTATTTTTTATATATACATATATAAATCACACTTATTTTTCTTTTGTTTATTAAGTTGAACTTATTCATAACAAATCTATTTTATTTTTATCTGAACGCAAACAGTAAAATATATAATTACATATAACGATTATACATTCCATTACTTTCAACCTGTCAATGCTTTACCTGCTACCCAGGTTGCCTATTAGCCCGGTTTCAGCCATAACTTTGTATTTTCTTCAATAAACATTTTTAGTTTTAGTTTTTATTATAGTTAAATTTGTAATATTAATAACAAAATTTTTTAAATGTATTATAAATTAATTGAACCATCAATAGGAAACAGGGAATTCGTAAAGTAGGTGTAAATTGAGTTCGAAGAAAGAAAATTGTTCAAAGGACTATTTAAATACTATTTTCAAAAAAAAAATCCTATATATTAGACTCTATATCTAAAAAATGTAAAAATTTAGAAAAGTGAATATGTCAAAAAAAAGTCCCTTCTTCCAATTGATGAGTTAATTGTTTATGTTTTTCTAAGCCTTATTATTATATCTTATTATTTACTTATTATTATATCTATTTTTATAGATTTTCCTCAGTTGTTTTCTACATTGATAACTTTTACTGAAAAAAAAAAATTAAAAAAAAAAAAAAATCAATTAAAATTAATACATTATTTTAATATATTGTTAATATGACTTCCATTTCTAGGTGGATGTTGAGCAAATATTCTATCTATCAAAATATTAAAACAAAAAAATATTTGAAGAATTGCTGCAAAAAAGTTTATTATTATTTATTATAACTATTTATATTTATATTATGTTTATTATATTGTTTATTTTATTCTTTGAAAATAGAAATAATCAAACAACAAAAAACTAACTAATGTAAAATTATGTAATAAAGGAATCTTGGTATAATGTGAAATGTTCTTGTTTATGATTGTTTCCTGTTCCAGTCATAATTTATCAGTTGTAATAAGTCAGTAAATTGAGTACTTTAAATTGTCCAAAAATAAAACCAAAAATAGTTAAAAAAGACTTCTTAATATTCTATGAAATAACCTTAATGAAAAGTTTGGTTTTAAAATATTTTTTTAACAAATTCCAAACTAATAATGGTAGCAATCTTTAACAATCTTGATCTATCTAAATGGTCCTTAATGTATTGATCATCAAAGTAAATATAAATTTTGATATTTGATACTTTAATACTGATATTTGATTACTATCTAATTTATCATCATCATTTAATGATCTCTTTAATGATTCTTGTTGGATTTTACACTTTTTATTAGTCAGTTAAATATTTAAATTAAAAAAAATACTAAACATAAAATAAATGCTAAATTGTCAACTGATAGTAGTAAAAAAAATCAACAAAAATTAATGTCAAATAGTAGCAGTAATTAACAGTGTCTATTAGTAGCAGAAATGTTTACAGTACAATGTAATATTTTACTGTACAATGTAAAATTTTATTTTAATTTTTTTTTTTTTTTTTTTTTTATTTGCATTCACTCCCAACAAGGCTGCAAGCAACCACTATCAAGTTGGGAGTTACTAGGAAAAAAAAGAACAGAGTTATAGAGCAAGGAAACGGTTGACAGAAGACTTGAAAAGTTGAAGGTTGTAGGAGTCAGGAAAACATGAAGATGGGAGAGAGTTCCAAAGGATTGAAGTGCGGGGGAAAAAACTAGATGAATAAAAGTTTTTAGAGCATGCTGGGACAGATACAGTAAACGAATGAGACTTAGCTGAATGACGAGTAAAACGAGAATGAATTTTAGTTGATGGAACTAGAGATGATAACTCCTTTGAGCAGTGACCATGATAGTATCTGTAGAAAAGAGAAAGAGATGCAACTTTACGACGATGGGAAAGAGGTTCAAGCTTAGCAGATAGTCCAGGTCCAACAACATTTACAATGCGTTTTTGGACCTTGTCAAGAAGAGAAAGTGAATCGTTAGAAGAACCAGCCCAAATATGACAACAGTATTCCATACAGGGACGAATAAGAGATTTGTAGAGGTAGAGAATGGAATCAGAAGTAAAGAAATGGCGAGCACGATAAAGAGAAGCAACCTTAGCAGAAGCTAATTTAGCAATCAATTGTATATATGGTTTCCATGAAAGGTCAGTAGTAAGCGATAATCCAAGAAGACGTAAAGAGGACGACTCAGTAAGAGGATTGCCATTCATTAATATAGGAATGTTGACCATACTACGGTAGTTGTTTGCAGTAAGCAATTGGGTTTTTTTAGAGTTGAAATTCACAAGCCACTGTGAACCCCAATCTATTACTGAAGTGAGATCAGATTCAAGATCAGCTGCTTGTTCTAGGCGATCGAAAAGAGAAGACTTTTTGTCAAGACAGGAGTATAAAGTTGAGTCATCAGCAAAAAGAGCTACTTTAGATGAAAGGTTGTCAGGAATTTCGTTTATGTAGATAAGAAACAAAACAGGGCCCAGGATGGAACCTTGGGGAACCCCAGAAGTTACTGGAAATAAAGAAGAGTGTTGGCCTTCAAGGATGACTTTAATAAACCGGTCAGAAAGAAATGATTTGATAATCTCAAAAACTTTCCCAGAAACACCATATGAAGCAAGCTTATGGAGAAGACCAGCATGCCAAACTTTGTCGAAAGCTTTAGATATATCGAGAGCAATAGCCCTAGCCTCACCGCCTCCATCTAATGCACGATTTTTTCATAAAAGTTATTTTGATTAAATATAACAAACTTATTAATTTTTTATTTTAGTAAAAATCAATAGTTTTGTATTAGTTCTATTAAAGAATGCTTTAAACATTATTTAAGAATATGCTAAAAGAAATGACATCTGGAATGAATGTTTAAACTAAATTATTTAAAAAAATTACTACTTTATGGAGACATTGAAAACAACTAGGTTATTTCCTTATTAGTAATCATCAGACTGTAAAACTAAACATTTTTACAACAAAAAATGTTTAAAAAACATTGAATTGACTTCAGTTTTGAATCTGAATAAAACACATTGGTTTCTAGAAACCTGTGTTTAGATACTGACTGCCATAGAAAGTTATCTCCATTAGTTCATGTGGGTTAGTTTGTTGATTATCTTCAAAGATTCAATAGTTTTTCTTTCTAATTTTCTAGAGGTCAACACTAAAACTTTGGCATCAGTCAATTATTTTCCTAATAAAATTTTTAATGATTTGAAACACTAAAAATACTTCATTTCTTGTCAAATCGATTTTTGGTGTTATAAGAAACTAGTTGACATTTTTAAACATTATGATAACTACAAATTTATTTATCTGGTTTGCTGAAAGGAAATAACAATATAAGCAATATTAACAAGTAAAAAAAATCTTTATTCATGAAGATTTTTTTTACTTGTTAATATTGTAACGAAACTATAATTAGATTAAAAAACAGCTGACCAACCAGAATTTTGATGTATTTTTTTGAGTTTACACAAGGTATCCACAGTAGCAAAACAATTTTCAGATTATTAAAGTAGGTTTTTATAGAGAAACCAGTAAAAAGAACTTCAAAAATTTTTAGATCATGTCCTAAACTTGGTTCAATTTGGATAGTGGTAATAACTTCATTGCAGTGAATCTTGAACTAATACAGCCATTTTTGTTATTGATAATATTGATGTCTACAAAATTTAGTGATATTTTCACTAAATTTCTAACTCTTTAAGCCTCATTTTATATTTTTGACATTTATTGACTTTCACTGCCTACGTTTACATTATTATTATTAAACTATCAAACTAATAAAGTATTTTTTTTATTATTAACTAGTTAACTATAATAGGTCTATTAAAATCCAACACAGGACAAACTAAAGTCTAATGTAAACAAGAAGAAATAAGTTATAATTATATATTATTCAACATATTAGTATATCATCGATAAAAGCAATTTAAAGCAATTAACAATGGATAAAAATTTTAAAACAGGTCCTTACTCTTTTTCAATCTCTGTGGAGTTAAAAGTGATATCAATATATGTGTTTCCAATATTTGCGCCATAAACAAACACTAGTTGTGGTGTAGTGTCATCTGATGGAAGAATTGTAATCTATAAAAAAAAAAAGTTTAAACTTATGAGTACACCTTTTTAATTTTAAGTTTATTTTTTATTTTGCCATTTTAACTTTTAATATTTAATATTTTTCTTTTGTTTTTTATATTAATAATTTTTATATAAACTTTTATGATTTTTACTGTTTCTTGTTTATATCGTATTGTGTTTATTATTTTTAATGTTATTAACTTTTATATTTTGTTCATGTTTATTGTTTTTTATATTATTGATTTTTATATAAACTTTTAATAAACTTTAAACAAACAAAAAGTAATTTAAATAAATAAATTAAAAAATATATTTCAAAATCTTTATTAGAATCACTGCTCTAAGGCTCCAGAGAGACACTACAATAGGAGACTACTTATTTATTTTTTTTAAAGTTTTATTTGAAACTCTCTCTCAACTCAAAATATTAAATGCGTTTAAAATAAAACAAAGCAAATAAATAAAATTGTTTTAATTAATAAATTAAAACATTATTGTCATAAAACTTGATATTTGCGCAAAAACATGCCTATCTATAGACCAAAGACCAAATCTATAGACCAAACAAGTATGATCTAAGCAAAAAAAACATTAGATACCACGTTTTTATAATTTATTGTTTCTTGATCTATTGAAAATTTAAGTATAATTAAGTTTTGCATTCAAATGGTTTTTAAATTGATGTTTTCATTCAATTTTTTATTCAAATTGTTTTCCAATAAAAAGTGAAACAGAAAAATTTGGTTTAATAAACCGAATTATATTGAGTATATGAATATGCTTAAAAAATTTTTTGAACAGAAGTAAATTAATTTATTAATTTTAATTTTTTATAATTTAATTTTTATTTTAACTTTTGTAATCACTGATTTAATGTTTGCAATAGAATGTTTCTACTTTGAAAACTATTTTCAAAAAACAAAATATAATTAACTATTTAAAACGTTTAAGATATTTACAATTTACGAAAAAAAAACTTTCTTCCTCATTCTCCTTTGTTTCTTCAAATTCTTTTAAAATTATCCAATTTTTTTCCATTTTAAGTTTCAATTGCAATTTATTTTCAACAATTTTTGTTAAAATAATTTTTGTGTTTAACAACATATAAGATATAAATAGAAACATTTGTATGGCTAAATTTTACAAGTCTTCGAATATATTGAATATATTAATATAATTGATAAGTTAATATTTGAGTAACTCTAAGTTACTGTAGTAACTTAACTGGTTGTTTTGATTTAGTTTATAAGTAAATTTACTGAGAAGTACTTTATCCATTCTGTAAATCAAACTAAATATAACTTTAAAAGCTTCAAGGTCATTAAAGCGAAAAATGTTAAAGCAAAAAAGTTTCTATTAGCATTGATTAACTGATTGAAAATTTTTTTAATAAAATACTATAAGTAAATTAAAATTAATTAATTTTAATTTACTTAAAGTAACAAAAGTATTAATATAAAATTGAGGATAAGATAATAATAAATTATATGGTGCAATGTTTTAAAAGATAAAAACCAGGCTTTTTGTTAAAAAAAAAAAGAAAGAAAAAATTCTCTTTAACGTCTTTTCCTTTTTCAACTTTTTGCTTTAATGACCTTTTAAAATATAACAGGCTTCAACGCAGAGATTTAAAGTAATTTAAATTCAAAAGTGTTTTACGTTAAATGAAATCTCGGCACAAAAGAGCAAATGATCATGCTTCTATTCAAAAGATATATTAGCTGTTATGACAAAAATATTACTTTTAAGAATTGCCAAAAAAAATATGCTAAATTAGAACAAAATGTAAACAAACAACCAAAAAAAAAAATTTCAAAAATATTTTTTTTAAGAAAAAACTAATCGCTAAGTTGTGAAAAGCAATCGTGATTCGCAATCACGATACACTAATCTCGAGCCCTTATATAACAGACAACTGAACTTGAATGTGATATTAAACTTGAATATCTTTTCTGTGGTAGCTTGGGATTTACAGTACCTGGCAATTTTTAACCCAAACAAAACTTATTTACTAATATTTCAATATTGTTGATTTTCTTGATTCATTTTTCTTGATTTGTGAATGGCAACACTTTTTCTAAACCATTATTTTACACTTTTTCTGATGATTATTCAATACTGGCCTCTCATGGAAACCATATATACAATCCATTGTAATGTTAGCATCTACTAAAGACACCTCTTTGTGCTTGCCATTTTCTTACTTCTGATTCCATTCTTTATGTCTAATCTCCTACTTTGTTAATGGTTGACTGCATCCTTGTTGAACTAACAAAAGTAACATTTGATGCAACTTTTTTTAAACTAAAATTTCTATTTCTACCATTCAAAACATTCTAAATTTTTAAATAATCTACTAATAAATAACTTTATTAAAAAGGAGTAATACAAATTAAGTCCCAGATATCCCAGCAGCTAATTTTAAATTTCTTGCATAGCTTTCTTGCAACTTAAAAACAAGCTATGTAACTAAAATTTTGAATATAAAATTTCTATATATATATATATATATATATATATATATATATATATATATATATATATATATATATATATATATATATATATATATATATATATATATATATATATATATATATATATATATATATATATATATATATATATATATATATATATATATATATAAATATATATATGTATATATATATATATATATATATATATATATATATATATATATATATATATATATATATATATATATATATATTATTTTGCTATATTTTTTTAACATATGCAAGCAAATTAAGTTAAAACATTAAAATTAATTTTTAATCGAAATTAAAAAAATTTAATTTGACTTACACTGTTTTTCAAAGGGTATGCAATATTTTGGTTTTCTGCAGTGAGATTTAATGTTACTGGTTCAGAGACTGGCTTACTAAATGCAAACATTTTTTAATTCATAAATCACATTTTATAAAAATATTATTAAGAATATTAATAATAAGTATATATGTATATATATATATATATATATATATATATATATATATATATATATATATATATATATATATATATATATATATATATATATATATATATATATATATATATAATTTAATTAAATATAACAAGAATAAATATATAAATTTTTCTCTTTTAAAGTCAATATATTTTGTAATTATTTTAAAAAAATAAACATTTTAAATAATTGATTATATAAAAAGTTTCTAAACTATTGAAAATTTTGTGGCTCAAGCTAAAAATTATTAGATAGACCCAAAAAAATTAATCTAAAGATGAGAAATCTGGAACTCACTGTCAAATCAAAAATAAAGCTTTCCCTAGATCAGGACCATTCTTTTGGATTGACTCATCTTTTTTCATGATTGTAAAATAAAGGATCGTTTGCAAAAAGTATCCATTAGTATCAACATAACTTTATTACCACAAACTTTTTTTAAACCTGATGTTTGATTTAGTTTAACTTGACAGAAATGATATCCTTTTTTTGGGTACCATGATTTCTTGTTTTTATCCTATTTTAAATCAAGTATGGATATTTGGTCCCAAGTCAGTATGATTCTAAACCACTTTTGTATGAAATTATTAACCTATATAGCCAGACATTTACAGTACAATGACTATTTACTTTAGTTTAATTACCAACATTGTTATCTGAGTTCAACAATAAAATTAGTTACTTGAGTTCAATCGTAGGAATAGCTACCTGAGTTGAATTGTGAACATAGTTACATGATATTCTAACTCTACTGCTTGACCATCAGTGACTGTCATCTTTATTTCTAAAAAATTTTATGAAAAAAAATCAAAAGATTCAATTTTAAAAAAATTTTAATTTATTATACTTTATTTTTTATTATTTGTTGAGCTAAAACTAAACTGCATTTTTTTTTTTTAGCTAAACAAATAATAACAAATTGGGGTGGGATCAAACATCAGGGATCAAACTTCGGAACTTGTTTACTAAGGAAGTACTTGCTTTGTAAGCAAGAAGTTCCAAGTTTCATCCGTACCACATCCCAGGTAGAACCACGCTAGACTAGTTACTTTGTGTGGTGATCTTTCTTTTCAAGGTTCATGCTTTGGAGTTAAAGTTGAGAGTTGAGAGTAAGTTGTAACCACAGCAACAACAACAAAAACAGTCTCCTCAACTATAGTGGCCCCTTCAGCTTTGGGGAGGTAAAAAATATTAGTTGAAACTAATTACAACTACTGTTTTTCACTATTATGTCAGTCATTTATTCACTTACACATTAGGTACATTAAAAAGTTGAACAAATAGCTAATGAGAAAACATAATCTAAGAAATAAAAACATGTAGTGTTCAAAGTCACCCCAAATAGGCTGTTCCATATCACCCCATTTAAGTAGGAAAAAAAAAATTAATTAAAGAATTATCAGAATGACCCATAAAAGTTAATCTAGTGGGAAAGTAAGATATTTATAAGACCACCAAAAGATGTTTAAAAATTTCAGGAAGTTCTATTGCCCAAGCGATTGAAAGAAAAATGTGAATGATTCCCTAAAAATGTGATAGAGATAGTGCAAAGTTAGCCTTTAACCACTATTCTGAAAAATTCAGCTATTTAAGACATATATTTTTAAAACTTTTGTTTCCCTTTATTTTATTTGATAATTATGTTTAATAAATTTCTTCAACTCAGTTCCTGACCTGATAAACTAAAAAAAAAGCTTTTCTTCAAAAATTAAGCTTTTTAGAAATTTCAATTTTTCAATATCAAAAGCCTACACTTCTGATTATAATATGTTTTTTACTATGATGTAACAAACAACATTGTAATGATATAACGTAACAAAAAACGTTATAATAATGTAATGTAACAAACATTATAATGATGTAATGTAACAAATAAGTAAAAAATACTTGGATCATGGAAACAAAAAAGTATATTGTTTAAACCAGTAAAACTTGTTTTTGCTTCATACTTAATTTGATAATTTTGTGATTTTAGATTTTAGATTTTGTGTGACAGTTGTATAACTGGTTTTATTTTGATTATAAATTTTGATATAAATTCTTGATTGATAAAAGTCAATTTTTTAGTCAATTTTTTTTTAACTGTGCTTCTAATACTCTTAGATTTTTTTACAGACAAAGTTTCATAAAACCAAACTTACGTGAGTAAACAAACGCTTTTGTGAGTAAACAACCTTACAGATAAAGTTTCATAAAACCAGCTTTTGTGAGTAAACAACCTTCAGACAAAGTTTCATAAAACCAGCTTTTGTGAGTAAACAACCTTACAGACAAAGTTTCATAAAACCAGCTTTTGTGAGTAAACAACCTTACAAAGTTTCATAAAACCAGCTTTTGTGAGTAAACAACCTTCAAAGTTTCATAAAACCAGCTTTTGCGAGTAAACAACCTTACAAAGTTTCATAAAACCAGCTTTTGTGAGTAAACAACCTTACATACACAGTTTCATAAAACCAGCTTTTGTGAGTAAACAGCCTTACAGACAAAGTTTCATAAAACTAGCTTTTGTGAGTAAACAACCTTACAGACAAAGTTTCATAAAACAAGCTTTTGTGAGTAAACAACCATAATGATGATGATGATTTATTCTTGAAAGTAAATCTTTTTATATTTAAAGACAGAAGTTTGTCATTCAAATAATGGATTATCAAAATACTAAGAACTGTTTCTTTTTCTTTTTTTTACCACAATTTCGTTTATTTTTTAAAATACAGTTTTTTTAAATACATTATTGCTATAAAAGTTAATTTTTTTAATGTACCTAAAACATTAAAAAAACTAAATTTTTATAGCAATAATGAGATTTTCTAAAATAAAAACATGAAACTCCCAGGATGATGGGTTAATACTAGTTCCTTGCAATAAATTACTAACAGACATAACTACTATTAAAAGTCTTAATTTCAAGTTTCTTGGAAAATGCTTAATTAATTATTGGTCTAAAATAACAAGTCAGTTATTCACCATCCTACCCTTCAGTTATTAACAACTTTGAATTATTGAAAAAAAAAAATTTTGAATTTTTTTGTTAAGGTGAAACCCAATTAAAAAAATAGCAGCAGAAAGATTTGTTAGGGTAAAACTTTAAAAACCAATCAGAAATAATAGCAAAAGATAAGTGTCAATAAAAATAAGAATAGTGAGTAATATGTTTTATACTTTTTGATTTTTGAAAGCTGACCTCTAACTATAACCCAATACAGAAATTTTTTTAATCAAAATAAAAGAGGTTTAATTTTAATATACCAAAAAAAAACTTTTTTTTTAAAGCATAAATTAGAAAGTATAGACAAAATATTATAAAAGATTAACAACATTACCAACAAGTTTGTTAACATTTTAAAGTTAAAAAGTTTGTTAACATTTGTCAAACTTAGTCAACTGTTTAAATGAAAAAGGTTTACAAGAATGACTTTTTTTTACTATTTAAAAATTTAAAAAAATATTACTTACTTTTTAACTCGATACTATGAATACATAAGATAAGTAAAAAAAATTTCATCATTTTTCTATTGTTGCAAAAAATATACAATGTTTTTTAATTTCGCCAACAATGTAACATGTAAATTTTGTTTATTTGTAAAAAAAACTAATTCCTAAAAAAATAAAATTAAATTTCAAAAACAAAAAAATATTTAATGTAAAAAGTACTAATTTAATGCTCTGTTCTTTAAAAACATTGAGCATTTTTTTCTTGAATAAAATAACATAATTTATATGGCAAAACAAGTTGAATGAAAAAACTTATTAAATCAACATTTAAATGACAAAAACTTATTGAGCAATCAGTTAAATTTTATAAAACACAAAGTAATGCGGATTGAAAAGCAGTTGAGGCTGCAATGAATTGCATTTGTGACATAAAACAATTCTAAAATATTCAACTAGTGGATGAAAACTTATGCTAGTCTTAACATAACTTTTGAAATATAAAACTATACTATAGCCTATGTGAACATTACGATGAAACTTTATTAAAACCATGTGTTTGAAACATTTATGTATTATATAACTATACATAAAATATTATACATTATAGTCATTTTTATGTCAAAGATAAAAAATAATTGAAAAATACAAAGTACTGTTATTAAAATAACAACAGCTGCAAAATATTTATCATTTACAGACAGCACACTACAACTAAGTCTTTGGACACTTCAAAAATATGGAACAAAACTGATCTAATAAAAGCCTAACAAATGTTACATGTTTTGTCGAGAATATTGTATAAAATATGATTTGACTTAGCCATATAGGAAAGAACTAAAGTCCACATACTTACACAAGTAAAACATAGATTTATAAGTAAGACAACATTTTTTCTAGTAATGCAAGGTCAACAGCTAAAATTCCTTTGATAATGATACTGTCTAAGTCATTTATCCTAAACTGCTTGAAAACAAAACTCAAAAATTTAGGTTCAACAAAGATGGACTTAGGGAATAAACCTGAAAAGCCCTTTTTAGATTTTAATCTTAAAATCCATCTTTCATGCTAATGTTATAGTTATATGGGTATATATATAGAAAAAATTGCATATTTTTTATTATATTTTAATGTAGATTACTCAACTTTTCATAGATTACTAGTTCTGCTTAATTTAAACATCGTTAAAAAAATTTCTTACGGTTTTATTTACTTGATCTTAGTTGTTGTTAATTAAGTCACGCAGTTTTACGTTGGAACTGCGTGACTTAAAAACAACAACACTACTTGTTAAGCAGGGGCCGTATTCTCATTTGTCCGTTCAGCTTAACGGAACGGGTAATCGGTAAAATGCGAACTGCGAACCGCGAACTGCGAACCGGTAAAATGCGAACCTTTTTGCGAACCAAAACATTACATTTTAATGACCGCAATATAATATATTAAAGTTATATAAAACGTTTGCTATTCAATTCTTTCTTTTATTAAATAATATAATGGAATTAGATTTATTTAAATCTTTACCCGCTGAATTCGCTGTTTGGTACAAACCAAAAGCTGGTGCTAATTACATTTTCTCGTGGACTAATGACAAGGATAAAGGTAAGATATGTGAATATATATATATATATATATATATATATATATATATATATATATATATATATATATATATATATATATATATAATTTATACAATTTATTCACATTTTAAAAGAATTAAGGATCGTTTGAAGATTAAATTGTTTTTAAATTAAAAACCAAGGAAAATTATTCACAATAACATAAAATATTATTTAGAAAATTGGCGTGCAGATGGTTACAGGTGGAGGCAAGGGGGTTTAAAGACAATTAATGGAATTAAAAGGAAGTATTTTAGAATTCTTGTTGCACAAGACACAGTAAGTGATGTGTTTGTACGTAGAGCACACTATCATGCTGATTATGCTAATTCAGTTCTGATATCATACATAGGTGATGAAGCTAAGGCTGTGCAGTTTCCTCATGGAAATGCTACTAGATGTAATAGAGATTTTATCAGGACACAGCCAGGTGTTATAAACCAAATTAAGGAAAGTACAGGTTCTGTCCAAAAAGTATACAAAGACATAATATTATCAAATACAGCTGATATAAATATAACAGCAGTTCCACGTAACATGGAACAAGTCAGTAATACTTTAAAATCAACACGCAATCAGCAGCGTTTATCTAGAGATAGTTTATACAATCTTCATGAATTAGCGTATGATACAAATTTTATTCATAATATAATAACATTTCCTGATTTGGTGGTAGTTATGTACTCAGATGAAACACTGCAAATTTTTCAGCAAGTACTGAAATTGTCTCAACTACCTCAGCAACTATCATATGATACAACTTTTTCTTTAGGCGACTTCTATCTTTCTGTTTTGCTATTTAGAGAAACTGAGTTTGACCCAAGTCCAATCATTCCACTAGCTTTTATGATACATGAGCGAAAAACACTAATGCCCCATTCCATATTTTGGCAACATATGAAATTAGTATGCCCAGAACTTGCTTTAAAGAATGTTTTTATTGTCACAGATCAAGAACGAGCTATAACAGAGGCCATCAAAGAAAGTTTTCCATCAGTTTCACATTTTCTTTGTTGGAACCATGTTTTGCAGGACAGTAAGCGATGGTTACAATTGCATGGAGTGAAGACAAAAGATGAATTAGCATATTACACTGAATGTATTCAATCTCTTCTTCGTTCTGATTCTGAATCTTCATATAAAGATAAACTAATAACAATGTTATCAGCATGGAGTCAGCCTTTTTCTGAGTACTATATCAAAACAATTCATAGTGTAGTAGACAAACTTGGATCTTGGAGAATTAAACAGTTTAACGTTCATGAAATTACAACAAATCAATCAGAAGCATTTAATACTGTAATTAAGCGACTACAGGACTGGAAAGAGGCTACTGTAGATTCAATGGCTTTAAGCTTATATAGACTTATACAATATAGTATGGTGGAAATTTATCGTGCTCGAAAAGGAACTGGCCAATATGAATTAAGAGCTGAATTGAAAGGTACTTATGAAGAATGTGATCTTCGTATTCCAGATACAACAGCACCAGAACAAATTGTTCAACGTATTAAAGAAACCATCAACAATCAATTTATGCATAATACATCTAAAAGTTTAGAGTTAGTACAAGATACAACTATGATAACTTCTGTTGAAAGGGCCAATGAAATCATTAGAAATTCTCATATTGCTCTTGACCCCAAACTTGCGACCTTTATTGTAAAAGGATCTATAGAACCACGTGTAGTAAAACTGTTTCCAAAAGAGACATGTTCATGTCCAGCTGAAAGTAGATGTTATCATATATTGGCAGCACGCCAGGCTATTGGTCTATCTGTTACAAACAACAACAAAAAAACAGGTTAATCTAACACAACTTCGTCGAAGTACAAGAAAAAAATCTGACAAAACAGGAGGAAGAAAAAGACCAAGAACACTTGATATTGAAGTTATTCCAGCAGGAGATGCTAATCCAGACGAAATAAAAGATTTGATAGCTAAAGTTAATGCCTTAAAAAAAACATGATATATATATATATATATAATATATATATATATATATATATATATATATATATATATATATATATATATATATATATATATATATATATATATATATATATATATATACACACATATATAGATAGATCATGTTGATAACAACTTTAAACAAAAGAAAAGTAAACAAAAACTATAAATAAAGTTTTTACATAGTTTATATAAATACATATATATAATATAATTAATAAAGTACGTATAATATATAAAATATATTTTTAACTAATTATATTTACTTATCAAAACAGAGTGTAGAATATATATTTATAGTAACAAAAGGTGTACCTTGAATGTTGTTTTTTTTAATATCATATCCCTTTTTTATGAATCTTCGTTATAATATATGAATCTGTAGAAGAAGTATAAACAAAGAACTATTTCTTCATTATACATTTTTTACAGATTTTTCTTACTATTCACTTTTTCATCTTAAGTATCTGTTTTTTTCGCAGTTTTCTTTTTTCATACTAGTTTTACTCAATTTGTTTTTTTAAATAAATGCTTTTGCGTGTAGTCCTTAAAATATTTTGGAAAATAAACAATTTAACGGCAAACGGAAAATAAAGTATTACATCATTAACAACCAATAGAACCATGGTTCGCAAAAAAGTTCGCATTTTACCAGTTCGCAGTTCGCGGTTCGCAGTTCGCATTTTACCGACTACCAACGGAACGTTAGTAAAAAATTTCTTTTTAACTTCATCAATAAAAAAGTTCTTTAAAAATAAAATTTTTTAAAAATAAATGTTTTATTTTAGTATTAGTTTTATTTTAAAAAATCTAAATAAGGTTTTCGCTATTTCTTTACTTAGATATATTGTAATGAAACTTCAAATAAAAGCTCCGTTAAGCTTAACAGAGAGATGAGAATACTGCCGTCCTAAGAAAAAACGCAGTAATCGCAAAAATTGAAAAATCGAGATTATTGCACCAAACGTTTTAACATCGTTTTCTGTGTAATAACGCTCTATATAAAAATATTGTGGTATATTCCGAAGTCATCAAACCCATAGTTCATTTTGCCGTAAGTTAAAAAAATATATACACACAAAATTTAAAAGTGGCTTTTTCTCAGAATGTCATTTTTATTGTTTACTGCGTTTTTACTTAGGGCGGCAGAATACTGCCCCTGCTTAATAAGTAGTGTTGTCACGCAGTTCCAACGTAAAACTGCGTGACTTAATTAACAACAACTAAGATCAAGTAAATAATGTCGTAAAAATAATTAAGAAATTTTTTTAACGATGTTTAAATTAAGCAGAACTAGTAATCTATGAAAAATTGAGTAATCTGCATTAAAATATAATAAAAAATATGCAATATTTTCTATATATATAATACGGCTGCAGAGTGTTGTTGTTTATAAGCAGTAGGATATTAAAATGACATCATTAGCTGTGCTTATGATGTCATTTTAATATCCTAACCTTTAAAGCACTGTTTTATAAAGTAATCGAGACAATCAAAACGCAATTTTAAAGTACTTAATTTTTTTTTTTTTTATTGTATGCGTATTTTGTAGAAGAAAAACCTTGTTTT